GCGGTCGGGGCCGCTGGGTGCCGGGCTTCCCGCCGCCTCCCGCCAGAAAGGGCCTCTTCTTCCCCTTTTGTTCGCGTCTCTGCGCCTCGCAGCGGCCCGAGAGCTTCCGCTCTGCCGCCAGGACAGCGACTGGTTATTTCTCCCCCCTCCCCAGGGTGCGGAGGATTTCCCCGACTGCTGCATCCCGATCCTCAGGCTTCTGCCTGCGGCCTTCCACGCGCCGGGAACGCCTCTAGTTTCTCCGGTTGTTGGAAGCATGCTTACAAAACCCTCCTAACGAAAATTTGGTCACCGTCGGCCTGACCAAACCAACGTGTTTTTCCACTCGTAAAAATGAGAGGGGGCGTCGATGTGCTACTGGACTAAAATTACCCTTGCCAGCCTCTGGCCGTGAGGCTCCCGTTTTCCTTCTACTTTGTAGTGCTACGTGCCGGTTCCAATTCGCTCGTCTGTGGGAAAAGCAGTATCGGCAGCCTCCCTTGAGCTCTGTTACCGTAGCATCCTTTCTGATATAATGCATCACGGTTTAACAGCGTTGGTGCACGCCGGTACAGCGGGCGTCAAATTCCTGTACTGGTCTTATTTGCTATTCAAAAAGCAAGCAGAACTCTCCAGAGAGTGTTGAAATTGGAGGCGCTATTGGAAATTTTATAGTTAGGTACTTTTTTTTGTTTCAGGGTAGAGTTCAGAAAAGACAGTAAGTATACTGTAATGCTAAGTATATATTTTCAAAAACGTAATGAAGAGTAAGCATGTTACAATTTTACAGTAGAATGTTTTGCTAGAGATCAGATATGCTTTAGTACTTTAATATTTCTCCCTTCCTTGAGTTGATGTTGGTTACACAGGATTGTGGAAAGAATTGGTGTTAACTGTGAACGTGGGAGTGATAATCTTTCTTCCAGGAGAATTCTTATATTTCACTTACACATATATAGCCCATAATAGTTTTCTCGCCCTTCAGAATTTTGCGTTCAGTTTTCCCGGTCAAGGTAACTAAACTCCTTATGGTTTTCTTTCATCATTCTGTGTGAATTACACTTATATGCGAGAGTTTTACTGGTGTTCCTAAACCAGCATAGTTTTGAAGGTGGTGTTAGATGACAGTTAATTCAAGAAAAGCTTATGGTTTAAAAAAAATACTAATGCTTCCTTTTAAAATTATTAATTACATTCATGGAAATGGCTTAATTAAATGAATTTATTTTGCTTATGTGTATTCTCTCTGTAACATGATTTTTTCTCTTACCTGAATTATTTCAAATACTGTGTTGGCAGCAGTCTGAGTTACCCTTAGAGTATGACTAAACAGGTGGTTTATAAAACATTAGGTAGGTGCAGCTGTGTCAGCTTTAAAGCAGGTTATATTGCCTAGACTAGGGGGTTGCATGAACTAAGACACAACCGTATAGCTCACAGTGTAACTTTTCACTGTTTTTCACATTATTTCCCATCCCATCACCCAGTGAAACCGATACAAAGCCAAGAGCAGAGAACTGGAAGGGTAAAACAGTAGTGATGGCTTCTGGCCCTGGTGGTGTCATGGTGTCACTTTGGGTTTGAGTAGCGGGTGAAGTTGATTAGATGACTCCCTGTAAATTAGGGGTAAAGAGGAATGAATGTGAGCAGGTTTGCTGTAATGCTTTCCTATGCTGTTTGATTTTTTTTTTCTTATGTTACTTCTCCACATCAAGATAAAGGCATTTAGGGCATATGTTTTAGAGGAATTGCATGTTAATGTCTTTCTATTCCAATACGTAACTACTTTGGTTTTTTTTACTTGCAGAGTCAACTGTTCATTTTATTTCAAAATTGGAGCTTGTCGTCATGGAGACAGATGTTCTCGGTTGCACAACAAACCAACATTTAGCCAGGTTTGTTTTCCTTTTGTTTTCTCTTTCTTGTGGAAGTATATTCTTGCTTCTTTAAAACGTAGATTCTCAGATACAAGTGAATAATTACCAAGCTCCAGATTAACTAGTTCACTTTTGGCCCCAGTTTATATGGGTTTTTGCTTTTTTGGGGGTATTCCATTTACTTCTCCCAGCATTTCTAATTATCTCCTGTCACCCTTAATGGCTGCAGGAAGCGATGCTGTTGTAAGCTTGCCTGTAGTAGAGACCAACCAGTGCTAACTTTCAGGTGAGTGTGCCTTCTCAGTGGTGTTTAGGCACTTAAACCATCCCAGGTTTTTTTAATCACAAACAATGGCAGCATGTTCTGCCTATCTCAAAGGTGTCAACTTAAGTCCTTTATGCATATAATAGAAGTAATTAATAAATAAAAGCGACTCTTCTGTCGTTATATTTGCTCTCTGATCCAGGCCCTTAAGTTTCGAGAGTAACTTAAGTACTTGCTTTGAATGTGAAAGAAGTGTTTCTTGAAAACAACTTGCCTGGTTGCTGAGGGTGTATATGTCATTTGATGACAGATTAAATAATCTTTGGCTATGTGAATATTGTTAGAGACATGATGTGTGACTGCATGTCTGCCAAAAAAAAAAAAAAAGGTGCAGTGGGTGATAGGGTTTTTATTATTATGAGTGCTATAGTTTTCAGAAATTACATTCCTGGCGAACTGTATGCTTTGCCTTTTTCTATCACTGCTGATTGTCAAGGTATACAGGTAAATAGATTTCTTTGGGAGTATCGTATATGATAAGTGGTGCCTATGAAAGTTGTTGCATTATCAGCAGTTTTACCTACAAAGGTAAAGTTTACATAGCAGCGGAGTCCTCTGCAAGTTCATTTTAGCTGACCTGGAGCAGGATTGGTTAGACTGGTGGACTGGTGTTGGTTTGGGGAGAATTAGGGAGGCAAGTGCTATCCACGTGGCTGGGGTCCAGAGCGATGGTGCTCATGAAGTTAAACTTTGTGAGTGCGTGGGTGGGCGGGGTAGTTCTAGGGGGGGCTGCCTAGGTTACTGATCGATGGGGACCGCTGCTGGTACTTCATCTGCAAAAACAGTTTTCCACTTCTGGGAATTTAATAATTTTTAATGTAATATTGTCTCTCTAAGAATGCTGTCTGTTTTCAAAACTATTCCATGTTGCTGACCTACATGGAGAGCGCGCTGAAATGTGATTGGTTATTTAGAGACCTGAATTTAGGTCATTGGCTGCTAGAAAAATTTTCTAAATTAGACAACTTCCACACTAGTTGTCTTTAAGTTTAAAAAAAAAAAAAAAACAAACCCCGAACGACATCTTTTTTAATAAAAAAACCTCTGTGTGCAACAACGGTTTCCTCTGTCAGCGCAGTCTTTAGCTTTGCCTTAGAACCTGCAGTTAGCAGTGCCAGGTGAAGCGGGTCAGCGGGGCGTGTCAGAGTCATCCCATGGTGCCTGGGACCACTACAGCATTGCACCTGCCAGACGGGCTGTATTGTAACATCTCCAACGTACCTGGCAGGTGCGTAGGGTTCGCTACAGAAATCTTTACTTGTATGCGGGTTGATAATCAGCTGTGATAGAAAATAGAAGAACAGGTACCTTACTAACGGGAAGTTACCGGCACAGTATTTTTATCTTGTGTTGCTATTGCTGGTGCAGCTACTTTATAGAAGAGCTGTGTTAGGAAAGGTCGTGCGATCCAGGGTGATCAAATTACCACCAATCAGCAGAAACACTGTAACTATATGCATGTTTCTGGCTCTCTCCAATTGTAGGCTAAAACATAGTTATTTTAAACCTGGGCCACGGGAGCACAAAGCTTTGGTTGGTATGACCGTACCCGTTGTAAAACAAGTGTGTGATTTTTAAATGTGATGTTACAGATTTTTTTATGTGTTAAGTGGGCAGCATATGTAGGTATGACATTGCTGGTCCTGTGACTTCTTTAAGCTCTGAATTCTTACTGTGACTAATAATAATGTGTAAGCTAAAATTATTTGGGGATTGCGATTCATACTAACTAACATCGAGCTTGTGTTTTAAGTAATCAAATTTCAATTTTTGAGCTGCTTACAGTGATATGGACGTTTGGAATTTTTTTGTAATATTAGTTTACTAACTTAAACATGGTTTGTTTTTTCAGACAACTTGATTTTAAGAAGAACGGTACAAATGTAAGGTTTCAAGTCTGCCTGGGCTAATTCTTCAAGTAAAAAGCAGAAGGGCTAAAAGGATATTGTCCTTATTTGAAGGATCGGAAACATGTGAACCCATGATGCTATTATATTATTTAAACAGAAATTCCACCAAGAAATTCCTGATGCACAAAACGAGACGTAGCTCTTGCCTAAAAACCTTACTGTCTGGTGTAACATTTTAGACTCTGTGGCATGATGTATTATATGCTGTGCACATAACACTATTTTTTTTTTTTCCCCCTAGAGTTACAATAATGAATCTGGTCTCGAAAGCTAGGCATCTCCCTAATGTCATGTAGTTTGACGCTTTAGGTTACTGTGCCTCACAACTCCCATATTGAGGATAGCTGTTGAGACAAATGCAGCTCTTTCTTGGTGGTTAATTAAAACTGTTTTCATAATATGATGGTCTGGATGCAATTTTGGAAGATATTCTGCAAATACAAAAGGAAGTCTTAAGAGTAAAATATTACTTTTAGCTGTTTGCAAACAAGTTGTCTCTTTGCAATTGTCTATTATATGCACAGCAGCCAGTAGAATTCCCCTTTTTATTTTTTTTCCCCGCAGACCATCTTGATTCAAAACATCTATCGTAACCCCCAAAACAGTGCACAGACGGCTGACGGCTCACACTGTAAGTCCCACAGTTGGAGAAATTTTTTTAAAGAATGGTGTTAAAGAGCCCACTCCTAATTATGAGAAAATAATGTTGGCTTCTGAGCTGCTGACATAAAGCTGTTGCAAACAGGACAAGTGACGGAACTCTTCTTGCGCATAGATCAAGAACTTGTCAAATGTGTGCAATTCAGAATGCAGAACTGACTGCATAAATTGGACTTGATGCAGATTCTCTTTTGCACTGCAAAGTGAAACTTGATTGCTTAGTAACTGCATTCTTCTTAAAGGGTTAAACTGCAGACATTTCTCAAATTCTTGATTTAACAAAAAAAAAACCAAAACCAAACAAAAATAGGTGTATATGTGATGTACGGTAAGTTTCCCAAAACTGTGGGTTTTCTTTCATCTTAACTTTTTTAGGAAAATGGAGATTTCATGTTATGCTGTAATTATTGTATTACTTCCTTTCCTGGGGTTTTGCTACTAAGAAACCGTTCAGTAAAACCAAATTCAAACAAATTATTACGCTTGTAATTGGAATACTGTGTTTGGATGCCATCTATTACATATCTGCCTGAAATCATGCAAAACCCCTCTATAGTAATATTGGTGAACAAAACAAAAAATACAATAATGGAGTATCATGAGGTCTCTATTACTTTACAGTGTTAGGCTGATTCAGAAAGGTCACCAGCTAAGTGAAAGTTCTCCTTCTTGGGAGAGAATAACCACCTCTCTTTCAGCACAGACTCGGCTAAAGCGACCCTAAAGGAAACCGGTTTCTTGTTAAAATTATTTTCCATAATATAAAGTTGTTGCGTTTTGTATTTCAGACCATTGCCCTCTTGAACATTTACCGTAACCCTCAAAACTCTTCCCAGTCTGCTGACGGTTTGCGCTGTAAGTTCATACAAGTTCCTTCACTGGTTCCCTGGGCTTGATTGTCAGAGCTCAGTGTCGACTTAAGCTGGTCTACCATTTTAGTTTAACAGATCAAACTGACCACGTTTCATTAAATGTGTCCAAAACAAACACACACAAAAAAACCAAACCAAAAAACTTTTTTCTCCCATTCACCTTCCTCCCTACTCCCAAAACTAGGAGGGGAATCTGAATACCATATATTAAATCAAAAAGGGTTGAAATTGTACTTCCCCTGTAAAGCAGTCCTGGTTGAACTGCTTTCTTCCCTCCCCCTTTCTCCCTGCCAGTTGCCTGCATCCTAGGAATGCTTTTCTGTATGTCTTGTGCCGTCCCTTAGGTTCCACTGTCTAAAAGAGCAGGACAATGACACGTTGACTTCATCCAGAACAAATTTCCTGCTCCATAAATGTTAAGAGAACTTGAATTTGAAAGTTTTCAGACTGCATGCAGAAATTTGTCCTAGGTTAATGCAGCTTCCATTTAGAGTCTACTCTGGAAGAATACACTTTGACTGACAAACGCTTCCCTTCTGGCAGCTGTCCTTTTTGGATAGGTGCATGCTTAAAATTCCTTCCATGCTTTGAAAATTCAAATTCCAAAACCAAGTCGCATATTTACCTAGGAAAACATATCTTTAAAAGTACTTTTGAGGAGGGGAAGGCATTTGGGTATGGTCATGGACTAATTTAATGACTCCTCATGAGGTAGGAATGGGCATAAGAAAACACACCTACTGTGAGACTGGCAGAAGTTAAATGACCAGGATTGTTGATCGGCGATTACTGATATATCATTGTGATTGAATCATCAACATTAGAATAAAATTTTAAAAAAAAAAGTTTTAGGACCAAAAAGGATCGGTGTTTCTGACTAATATTTCTTGGTGAAGTGAATATTGACTGTGTGGTAATAAAGCTTTGTTTGGCTATTCCTTTTTTTGACTGTTGGATCATAGACTAGTTCAGATTAGTTACCAGCATTTGATTAGACATGCTTTGTGAAATCAGCCACTAACTTAAAAGTCAACACTGTCTCTTCTGCTTCTAAAAGTAATAATGGCCCAATTAAGTAATTTGAGTTTTTTGTCACACAATCAAGCTAGATACATAATGAGCTATGTAAGTTTGTCTAGATGCTTAAAGAGTTCTATTGGTTTGTAGGCTTTCTTGTTGCAGATGCTTAGTAGTTAATGCTGTTTCAGTAAACCAAAAAATGCACAGTTGGGTGTTTCCACTCTGTCCCTAAACTCTCAATGCGCTGGTAACTAATTTGCACAGAGTTACAGCAGTTTGGTCTGCGGAGCTGTTTAGACTGTACGGCTCCAAGAGTCTTGAATAGATTCTCTAGCGTTCTAAATGCTGGTATCCAACTCTAGTTTGTCTTGACAAGCGGGTAGCTATTTAACAGAGCCCAACTGTACCTCCTGTGGTAGAGCTGGAGCTCTGTTACCAGTAGGTTTGCTGAAACTCCTGGCTCCCTGGTTTTTTGATATTTGTCCCTACTTAAGTATTGCATGTATTTTAAATGGATAACTTGGGTAGCTGTTTAATGCTTTGTTGTTGTTGCTTAACTGTCTTCCTTTCTATTGCCGTCGTAGAGGATTAACCTTAGTTTTGAACAGCAGTAGTTTTCCTGAGTATTTTAATTAGTAATTGGGCTTCTCAAGGTTCAGATACCGGTAGCCCTGGAATATGAATGTTTGTAAAGCCTGTGCATATGTATGCTTCCCACTTTAGAAGGACATTCAAGTAGTCGTTAACTAACTGTTGCTTATCATCTCCTAATTTGACAATGGAATCTCCTTACAAGTTTTTAGCACTTGTCCATCTGGTAAAAAGTAGTTACTCCCAGTGTGGCTCACAGAGCCCCTGCCTGATATCTTTTAAACAAAACAAAAAAACCCCTTAGGTATTAGTAAGCCGTTATCAGTGGTGTTGGCAGAACCTTGGGAATATAGTTAAGTATTAAACTGTCTAGAAATACTGGTTTAATGTTTGATATTCCTTAATTTGCTATGTAACTGTGGGGAAGCAGTGGGGAAGAAGAAAGTTCTTAAAAGCAAGCATGTTTCAACTGCAGAAACATTGTTAGCCTAAACTATATAACAAATGCCCCTTAGCCTTCTTCAGGAGGTGAGCTGGGTGGAAGAAAAGTAGTTACAGTTCCAGAGAGTGTGGCTGGTTAATATTAGAGCCTTTGAAGAAAAATGTAAAGTCTGTCCAAATGGTAATACTGGCCAAAAATGACTGAGCCCAAAGCATCTCTTTCTTTCATAGCAGCCTGAAGTGAACAAACTCAGCTTTGTTGGCTCAGTTTCTTGTCTTTCACGTTCTGTAAACTAAACCAGTAGTGTTTGTAATTTAAAGGCTAGAATATTTTTCTAGCTTAAAATGCAGGGTTGATTTTAAAACTGCTCCGCTTGATCTTAATAAACCACTTAACTGCTGAAGAGCTAATACATTAGGCTTTAATGTATACAGCTTAATGTAGTTTAAAATCTGTAGACTGGAAGAAACAAATGAAATTGATTTTTATATTCTTAATGCTGTGAAAAATCAGCCAAACTTATGTTGTTTTTTTATAGCAGCAGGCAAGCAGCGCTCACTTGTAAAGTCCAGCTTGGAGCATGAAAATAATCTAACCTGAATATATGGCTGGCTTGTCTTGCACTAAAAGGTGTTCTGCAGGACTACAGAAAAATTAAGTGATACTCAAAATTAAACTAGAAAATTGCTCTCTATTGCAAAGCATTATGGTACCCTTCTTTGAGGGCACTGAGAAAAGTGTGTCATTTCAGTAACTATTCTGAGCAAATTTAAAAAAAAATTCGGGGCTATGTTACATTGTGAACTCTGAAATTCTAGTGTATATGCTGGAGAGGTGGACATGTTAAAATGAAATTCTGCCTTTAGGAAGAGGAACACTAAACTGTAATCACGCTTTAAAGTATGCAAATGTAACAAAGCACTTGCCTTCTGTTTAGGTAAAATTGTTGGTAGATAGAGGGTGGGACTGTACATTAAATTTAAGTGATTTCAAAGTAATTCCTTTCCCCTTCCTTTAAATTTGTGGCATACAAGTTTGGCTCCGATTAAAACTTGTTTTGATTTGATCATGTCAATGTAATGTTTTGACATATACTTTGGGGACTCAAAGCTCTTCACACATACTTATTTTTAATATTCCTATTAGTTAGCTCTATGCTATATGGTGTCTTTTATGCTCCAGATGGCCTCTCTAGATTGTTTTGTAGTATGATCAAAATCTCTTCTTCCTTATTTATAGGCTCTAATCGATATGACTCTTGATTTTTTTTTTTTACAGGTGCTGTAAGCGATGTTGAGATGCAGGAACATTATGATGAATTCTTTGAGGTATGTAAAAGATTTAAAAATGCATTAAAGTGTTTGTGGATTTGTCGACACAAATGAGTTAGATGGATTCAGAGAAAAGCGCTTGTTTCCTCAGGTGTTCGTATACAACTTACAACTTTCAGTGCTAAATATTTCCTGGTATAACCTTTGGTTAGTTTGGCTTTAACTTTACTGTTTATAATAGACTTTGTTTAAAGATCAGCAACTTAAGTGATGTAGGATTTTGATTCAATAATCCCCTTCTTTCCTGTGAATTTAAAATATACTTAATTATTTGTATAGAAGCAAACTAAGTAAAACTATAGCATTAAGGCTTATATGTAGTGTTTTCAGTGCATCTTATGTATCCTGTAAATACTGTATGCATAGTGTTTTCCGTAGCTTTTTATTGTATCCTGTTAGTGCTGTACTTGCAGATGGACACAGTACAGGCCAAGCAAGTACTAATTTTAAAATCAGAAATGTAAAAAAAGGTGGTTTTGGTTTGGTTTTTTTAAGGAAGGCCTTCTTTTGTACTTACTAACAGCTAAACGCAATACTTCTGTACTTATGAGTAATGTGCTGCAAACTTGTAATTGGTTGCTTTGTGCTTAGGAGGTCTTCACAGAAATGGAAGAAAAATATGGTGAAGTTGAGGAGATGAACGTTTGTGATAACCTTGGAGATCATCTAGTTGGAAATGTATATGTAAAGGTAGGATAAAGAGACACATGTTTGTGTAATCAATAGGGGTGGTATTTGCTGATTTACAATTTTAAAAGCTACTGTATGCTTGTAGATTTTGAGAGTGACTCTCCAGCTCCTCTCCAACTTCACAATATAAAGTAGAAAGAGTGAAAATGTGCATGGAATCTGAAAGAAATTAAGAGATGATGAGAAGCTTTCTCGATAGTCAAAATCTGTGTCATTTTCATAAACATTAACGCTTTTTTACATTGTTATAAATACAGTCACCACTGCTGCACTGTTTAGTTTGCCAGGATTAATGTGGGGTCTGTCTTCCCATCACACTGCCTTTTTAAGTACTTTGTTATGAGCAGAGGTTTATTCGCAACAGGTGTGTTCATTTTCAACAGGTGCATTTATTTTCTAACTTCCCAGTTGAACAAAACATTTTGTAACCAAGTTACATTTGGCAGTAGCTGGGTGGTGTAAGGTGCAAACTGGAGCACTTAGGTTTAGCTCTTAAAAGTCATTGGTATCTCTTGAATAATGAGTACAAAGTTGTCACCTGCAGAAATCTTATTGTGTCTACACAGTGTTGGGGAGGTGTGAGAGAGTTTGTTTGAATATTTTTACTGTACATTCCCTTAACTGGAAAGTATTTTCATGCCTAAAATTCTCAGCTGTGTAGGTCATAATCAGAAATAAAAGTTGTTTTTAAAAATTTGCAAGTGGTTAGCGGTGAAAAGGAATTTCAAATTTAAGTTTTGCATTCATTGTAAAACAGGATCAGATTCTTGTAAATTCTAATTTAAATGAATGAGAGCTTCAGTTCTCATGCAGATTTCTCTTAAATGTTTGGGAAAAAAATCCATTACATTTGGAGCATTAGTGTTCTAGAAAGTACTCCTAAGCATTCTCGTTGTTTAAAGTTGTACTAAGAAAACACAGTATCTTCTATTGTGTCTTTTAATACAAGCCACAAAATTTGAAAGACCAAATATAACATAATTGAGAGGAATTATCAATGTTTTGATTAGCTCTGAGTCCTGATTAATGAGAAGCTAGCATCTTTACCCTTGATTTGATGGACTGTCCCAGGAACTCTGAAGTCACTTCTAGTTTGATTGCTAGTCCTAAGCCTCAGATAGCACACAACTGATTTGACAGTAATCTTCGATCTACTTCTGTTGCTTCTCTATAACATGAGGAAATGTTAATTTTGCTTTTAGTTTCGCCGTGAAGAAGATGCGGAAAAGGCTGTGATTGACCTGAACAATCGCTGGTTTAATGGACAGCCCATTCATGCTGAGCTTTCACCTGTGACTGACTTCAGAGAGGCCTGTTGCCGTCAATATGAAATGGGGTAAAAAGTGGCTTCCTGTTTGGCTATGATGGTATCTTTAAAATGCTTGCACAGACAGGGTGGTCGCTTGGGTGTGGCTTTTGTGTAGCTTAGTGTAGGAAGAAAGCCACTTCAGGTAATGTTAATATGGAGGACCTGCCGTCAGCCTCGTGACTTTTGCCATCTCTTCAGGATTTTGGTCTAGGAGTGAGTCGGTGTTGGTGAATGATGCTTGCAATTTACTGGTTTTAACGTTAGAGGTGATTAACTTTTAGATGGCTAGAGGTCTACTAGGGCTTAGGGCAAACAGATACAGTGTAGACCTTGGAGTTTCAACTGTGTCTCTTGAATTCTGTTTCAGAGAGTGTACACGAGGAGGTTTCTGCAACTTTATGCATTTGAAGCCCATTTCTCGAGAGTTAAGACGTGAGTTGTATGGGCGTCGTCGTAAAAAGTAAGTTTGCTTTTAAACACGATTAAACCAGGTAAATTAAGGATCAGTTGCTGAAAATTCTGAAGGCAAACCTTTAAACTTAAGTCCTCTCGTTTTTTCTAATGCAGTTCTGATACAAGCCAATGAAAGGGCATCAAGTAAAGCTAGCGAGTGGCCAGTTTGAACAAAGGAATAGGTCTTTCTTTAAAAAAAAAAAAATTATGGTGCTTCTTGCTCTGTGGTGCTGTGGATGCTGTTAAGAGAAGGCAGGGTTCAAGAGGAAGAATATTCACTGAGTTACTAAGTACTTAGGACCTACCTGTGGTTCAAATCTCCAAACTGCAAACTGTTACAGGCGGACATTAGTTGGGAGAAGTATTTCTTTATGCCTCTTCTCTATTTTAGCGTCTTCTAAATGTATTTGCTCGTGGCCTTTGTTAGAAGCAGGCTACTTGGCTAATGGGCATTTTGGCAGGATCAGATTGGCCACTTTTAGCATTATGCACAATCAAGCATATCTATAGATTATATTCAGTACCCAACCTTATTTGGTTTTAACACTTAATGGCTAACTTTCCTAGCCCGTATTCATTCCGTAATGTTAGTAATGGGCGATCACTGTATTGAGCTCACTTTTTATTAACGCTAGCCTCACAATGTGACCCTTCTTGATGGGAATTCTCAGTAGGGCAAAGGAATAGTAATTTTGCTGAACGGCAAAAAAAAGAAGATTGTGAAATACATTTTATTAAATACTTATATTAAATTATTTATTAAGGTACCTTGTAGAAAGGCTTATACCATTGCTGTTACTATGACACCTGTCTTGTGGATGGTTCACTTTGAGCTGGATTCAATCTGCTTGCTTTTAGGACCTTGCTATTTAGGATAGGCATATAAAATTGTTGAGCTTCCTTTTATATAGAGCACAATTTTGTAGGTTTCTTTCAATCACAGAAGGAGCCTGGGATTGTGAACATGTTTTTCCTATAAATGTCTCTAATTGGCAGTGTCTTAGAATTTGTGAGGATGAATTTAACTTTGGAAAATGTAGATTGTGTTGCTGAGGCACATGTATTTGTGCCTAAATACTTTCCTAAAATATCCCAATTAAAGCTTACATTTAAGTTTAAATTAATATTTAAGATGTTTGAATGATTTATGAAAAAGAGAAAGTATGCTCTTGTATTAGCCCTTTGGTCACTTTTATGAATCTGGATCTCTCGGACTTAGTAAGGCTAATTAAAAGGTATCACCTTTTACTGCAAGAAAGATCATACTTATGTATTTGGCTTTGGAATATGATTGTTTTACCCATAGCCCAATTTGAGTCTGTGGTAAAGCAAATAAATAAAATAGCTGAATCCTCCATCCGGTTTTGTCTTTCTTGGCCCTATTTAAATTCTTTGTGCAGCTAAAGCTGTCACAGGTTAGCAGTAAGGCTTGATATAAAAAAATCAGTTCTTGTGTCAGTGGGATTTCACAGGTAGATTGTATAAACTAGACTGACCTGAAAGTAGTTCTACACAGAATGAAATACATCAAAGCTGGGTTTTTTTTTTCCTAGTAGAAAAAAGGAGGGTAAACCAGAACTTTTGAATAATAGGTTAATTTAGTAATTCTGGACAGTTCAGTGGTATGCAAGAGTTATGTATGTGTCTCTGTCATAGTGAAATTTGTCACCCCACACACTCCCACCCCAAAACATCTCACCATGGAACGATATTCTGCAAACTTAAGACTTGTAGCATTTGTCTCCCTGAGCTTTTTAGTTCTGCTGTAATTTCTACACCTATTTAAAACTGTACTGGTTAAAATAAAAGTAAATAAATAAACTAAATAAAATTGACTTTTCTAAGATGCTTAAAAACATTCAAACTACCCTTCCTTGGCAAGTGCCATATAAGCTATAAATACATAGTAGCTGTGTTAGCAGTACCTTCTGGGTGGTTTTAGCTTCCTTCTTGAATTTAAGTCATTGACCTCAGAGGCAGGGAAGATTATTTTCAAATGTTGATAGCTTCTAGAAGCGGGGGGGTGGGGGAGAGAAGGGGGGAAAAAAGAAATCATCTGCATTAATTAGCAATTACAATTCAGTTCTCCAGTAGGAGTGGACTTACAAACAGCTGTAGGCTTTTGCTGTGTGTTGTTAAGAGCTGTTCATAACTGCAAAAGCAGGTGTCCCCTTCTGTTGCTGCTTTAACAGCTGTGTAAGAGTGCATTTGGTTCCTCTACGTGCCTTTCCTTAAGTTTTGCACACCTGTTATAATGGATGACTGGCAGTGAACAGTTGAGTCTTTTAACAGTATGTGTTGGCTCCTCGGTATTAAGTTTGTTCTGTTTGTAAATGCATGGTTTCGCAGCCTGAGTGCCAATTTACCGATCCTTCTAATGCCATGTTGTCTTTCTTCTCCCCCGTTGCTTACATCCTTAAGTGTTCTACTGTGTGGTACTGCAAGTAAATTGCTGAATGTGATGAAACAATAAAATGTTCAAACTTTCTTTGAAGGCATAGATCCAGGTCGAGGTCCCGTGAACGCCGGTCTAGATCCAGAGATCGTGGTCGTGGAGGTGGTGGTGGAGGAGGAGGAGGACGTGAACGTGATAGGAGGCGGTCAAGAGATCGTGAAAGATCTGGTCGATTCTGAGCCATGCCATTTTTACTGTATGTCTGCTAGAAAGTGTTGTAGTTTGACCAAACAAGTTCATAATGAGATTTTTTTTTAAAGATGGGCTTCTGAATAAAAAATTTGTAGTGATACAGTATTCTTTGTGTAACTTGTTTCTTGTGGGGGGAGTCTTTTTAACTGTCATTCCTCTATCTTGACAAATACCTGGATTAACTATGCCTGAGGGAAAGGTGGTAAATGTATTGGAGGAGCGCCAGTTTTGGTTTTGTTTTTTTTTTATTCGGGTATAATTTGAACTGTTGATGAAAATGTGTGTGTATATAATATAAAATATTATATACATAGTAAAAATAATATACTGCTTAAGAAACAGTTACTCACATAAGTTTCCCTTTTCTGCTATGCTGTCTGCTTATTTAGGTTAGTTTAGGCACATTTAAAAGGAAGGCTGTGCAAAATGCATTTATTTACCAAGTAGAAACGCTTAGTTACAAAAATGTATGTTTGTTTGTTACCAGAAGTCTGTGCTCTGTCTATCAATGTGACTGTGGCATTTACAATAAATCCAATTTCTTGGTGTAAAATCTAAAGCCTATTTTCTAAGCACTCTGGAGTAGTTGAGTTGCTACTCCTGGCTGTGCCAGAGTTCATAGTTCAATTTTTTTTATGATTCTGACTAAATTCCTTGTCTTTGGCTGGAAAGAAAGTTGCCTAGTGCAGTGTGGAAAAAAAATAATCTTTTTATCGCAATGATTCATAATAGGCAGGTGAGGTTTTTTAAAAAAACTCATGCTCCATGCAACATGATACATAGGATCTATTAAAGGAAATGCAAGGTCCTGAATACAAGGACCAAATTTCTTAACAGACTGATTTTTTCACTCTGTGTGCTCTTAGCTGTCATTTAATGAAAAGCATTTCATTAGTGTTCAAGGTCATAGGAAACTAATCGGATGCTAGTGGAAAATAATTTCACCACCACCACCTTTACTCGCTTTCTGATAGTCTGAAATGCGATAAAAGCTAATGGACAGATGGCAGTTTCTTCACAAACAAGACATCTTTCTTTTTCTGTCTGAGTTTTAATTGAGTTGCGCAATGGCTATATATCGTAGGTTGTGTATCTTAAGGAGTTAAAGCTCTAATTGAAATGTTGCTGGAACATCTTGAGAGACAATTTGTACAATGGCTGACTTGCAGTTTAACTTCATGTCTGCTTTTATTCAATGCATAACAGTAAAATTTTGGTCAGTGGTCATATTTCTGCACGATACAACTTTATGTACGTGAAGCTATGTAATATAATATAGCTTTCCAATGGGGGGGAGAATTTACTAGTGCTTCCAATGGGGGGGAGAATTTACCAGAGCTTTTTTAGTTGAGTCAGATAACTTGCTAAATGATACATCTGCTCCTTGATTATTATTTAAAAAAAAAAGAAAGGAAAGAAATAGAAAGGATATGGAAGCATTACATAGCCAGATTAACAAACCAGCTTCTCCCTGCCTCCAAAATAAGTATAAAACCATTTTGCTCACTGGAACTTGGAGTTGGCAAACAAAATAATATTGAAAAATGAGCTTTTCTAAACGAATCTGCTTTGCCTCTTACAACTAACTTCTTACACCAATTCAATTTGAATTTATTTTCTTCGCACTGGATGGTTTGGCCAAGCAGATTGCGGAACTTACTTTGCCAGTAACCTTTTTAAAGAAATGTATCTCGCTGTGAAGATGGCTTCGCTGCTTATGTTTTGTTGCAAGTACATAAATCAAATTTATGCTTTCTTTTCACTGGAAGAATTGAGCAGTGCCTGGCAATAAATGGCTGAACTGAAACCTGTGGTATTTCTGCTAGGCATTAGGAATTTAACATTGATGATTTAGTTCTTGCGGTTTACAGGATACTAATTTAGTTCCACTTCCTCTTCAGTGAGATTTAGGATGATTAGTGAGCTAATTTAAATCTCAAGCTCAAAAAGGTGAGAATAGTCTTTCTGTTTTTTTAAAATGGTATCTAGTATAATGTGGGTAGTATTGACAAAGGTTTAAGATCTTTTTTACACAGATTAATGACACAAGCTGATTTGCTCCATAAAGGGTTAATTTTAAACTAGTATTAATATGTCCCTATTAACACCTTTCATCTGTTTATCTAAACCCTGTTAAACTGCAGGTATGTTTTTGCATGAACAGATAGCAGAAGGTTGATTTCTCCATCTCCCCCCAGTACAATTTTTCTTAAGAAAGCACTCCTGAATTCCACCAAATGCATCATTTTATGGTCTGATTGCACAGCTACCCAAAAATTAACCATGTAACTGGACTATGTCGTAACAGGCACTGAAAGCAATGGATTTTACTGGATATGCGGAAGGAAAAAACTCGCGCATTGATCATTACCTGATTGTGTAATGATTCCCTAGTGACAGCATTCAGCATATAAACTAAGCTTATGACATATCTTCAGTTAGGATCACCTTTTAAGATTATACTACCAGTAAAATTCATCAAACTTGAAATTTAAACTGCACAAATTTGGTTAAACACTTATACACGGTAGTCCAAACTGTATTGGTTTACCAATACAAACTAAGTGGAAATCCGACCTCCCCCTTCTATTGTTGCTCACAATGTCTTAGGGTAATTTTTTTTTTCCCCTCCTTCCCAAAGGTACCTACTTCTCACACATATTTCCTTGTTGACTCTTCTGTTAAACAGTGGATTTTAATTTATGGAATTCCTTTACCTCAAATAAGTGACAGCATACAGTATTTTCTGAAGTCTGAGTCAATTAGGTTGAAACTGTTAATCCCAAGTGGCTTCCTCTTCTCTGTATTTGGCTCTTATTCTGTGAAAATGCTGCTTGTCCATGAATATGATGTATGTTGAGATTGTAAAACCAAATGGAGAAAACTTGTTCAAAATAAAGCCTTTTTTTATAAGAATCTGACAAAAATTATCCCTTTCCTTTAGATGGGATGCTGCTCTTTAAATGACTAATGAGGACATAGACTACAAGTTTCAAATTCTTAGCTCTTGTCCTGAGCTATTTTTTGAGTGATTCTCTGCCTTCTGTTTTTTTTGAGCTGGTGGAGCATGTCTTCAACTAAAATACCCAAAAACCCAACCCCTCCGTATTTACTTGGTAAAGTTGAAGTATCAAAAGAGTGCGACTTGGGGTTGGGAGTTGGGGGTTTTTTTTGGTTTTAAATTAGTAAGGGTTCAGGTTGAGAGATCCTGCAAGTTTCTGTTGTGGTGGTCTGTAGAGAACAAGAAGGCTCATTTTTGACAGAAGGAGCATGTTTAATTGAAGAAACGAGTAACTGAGAGGGGTCACGGCTTTTTAAAGATGATTCTTCTAGTGTTGCATCGCTCCAGCTGCAAAACTTTGGGTGTTAACGGCTGTGCCCATTGCTGCTGTTCCACAACAGCACCTTAAACTGAATATACTGTCTTTAATATATTAGAAATGAAACTGCTTTCATAGCAGTTGGGGAAGGTGTTAATCACGCCATTCTCCAAACGCTTGTAACTGCTGATGCTGCTGCACTGACTGCCCCAAAAAACAGTCCCGTTCAGGAAAAGTCAGAGCTAAAAAATGGAACTGAGTTGGTGTGCACTCGCTTCAGCTTGTAAGGAAGTAATGCCTAATAGGTAAGGCTGTCATAGAAGAGAATATTTGTAGCTGTGTTTGCCATTTATTGCAAGGATGAAGCTGAGCTGTATTACCGTAGAGCACAATTTGACCTTGGAGTGCATGAATTTCAATTTTGAAAAAATCAAAATTGCAGCCAAATGCCTGTAGAATAAATCAATATATCTTCATGTTGAATTGATATGTGATGCATTCTAAAACTATGCACAAGTATTTCTGAATTCATCCAATTAGCCAATGTTACCTTTTTTACAAATGTCTCCAAGTTATTTTTCTTTTTGCAATATTCACTTTGTTAAACCCACACGTATGGAAATGGGAGCACGTCTGCTGAACTATGTGGACAATCCTTCCTTGTCAGCAAGGTGCTCATCAGTCATAAACGTCTAATCACCTGTTAATGCACGTCATGTTTTATTTCTTACAACATTGTAACCTCCAGCAAGAGGAACCGCTAGTGCAAGGACACTGCTATCCTATGCCGCAGTCCTGTAGTATTTCCGCAGCAGCGGCAGAAACACTTTAGAAGGTCCTCGTTTTCCTGCTGGAGGTTACTGCCAAAAAAGGTGTTAATTCAGTTCGTCTAAAGTTTCAGCTGTAAATTGGATATGTGGAATCGGGTTGAATGGTGGAAGCTAACAAACCAGATCTGCTGCCAACAGACCAGCTCTGGTAGCCAGTGGCTTCATTTCAACATATGCGAAGTGGGAGGGGGAAGGCTGTGCTTATCTCGAACTGTTAAGACGCAAATGCCTACTTCTTAGCAGTGCTCCGATAATCCTCGGGTTTGGTGCTTTTTCATAATTTCAGTTTTGGTGTTTGCTTTCTAACTAGACCGTTTTGACAGGACCAAAGGCAAGTTACATGCATTCGTACATCAGCAGAGCAGAAAGGTGATGACTTCTGATGAAACGGTGGGATGCTGGGGACAGCAACTTCTCGGGTGAGCTGGAGCCCTGTAGCAGCTTGTGTAAGTATGGTTGCCCCTTTGGTCCAAGTATCTTAAAAACATTCAGAGCTCTGCCAGCTGTTCCCGCTAGGAAGAGAAAATTAATATGATTCAGGTATTCCCTTGGGACAAGCCCATGCATTTTTGACGAAAGTATGCAGAGTGCTATTTTCCTGAGCACTGTGAAATCGGTGTGCTGTAGACCACTTCCAGCTCTGTTTCCAAAGCTGCTCTTTTAGTTAGGTCTGGAGGAAGAAAAAGAAATTGTTTCTGCTCTGGATTCAGTGAGCCGCAAAATGAAGTGGGGAGAAAGGCAGCAGATAGCAATCAAGCTGGTCTCCCTGCCTCTGTTTTTCACAGAAAAGCCTTTTGTCTACCAGGCTTAGGCCTGCTGTGCTTTTGCCAGCACCTGGCTTGATTTCAAGTCTTGCTACCTATGCAACTGAATATTGGCCATGTTTCAGATCGTTCTCACTTTCTTCCTGGAGCTGTCTGGGATTCCAGCCAGGCGGAGGGAGGGGGGGAGGGAGCAGCTCCCACTGCAGCCTGTGCACCAGCCTGCCTCCTGGGCCTCAGAGCTGCGGGAAGAGCCAGGGGGAGCGACCGCTCCTCCCTTTTCTACCCACCCGCTTCCCTTGAGAGCTAATACTGCTTGTGTCTAAGAGAAAGATGAGAGGGAGCTTCACGGATCAAAACAGTCCTGCATCTTCCATCATTTCCTCTTCCTTCCTCCTTCCTCTCTAGTGAACACGGAGGACGCTGCTTCTCTGCTTTCTCTTGTGTTGGTGGAGAAAAAAAGTCCTGGAGCTGCAGGAGGAAGAGACTTGATAAAGGGACTCCGAGGCAGGACATGAAGAGCTGATTTCTGGACAAAGCACAAGTGGAAAGTGAGCAGACAGCTTTACTGACTTTGGGATTGCATGCAACATTAATTGTTGCATTGCTGGACTGGGGATGGGCAAGGGAAATTCCAAAGTCTAAGGCAGGCCAAAATCTGACCAAGTAATAGCCTCATTAATGTCCGGGCTAGTCTTTTCATTCTGGAGGGGTTTGACTCATGATTTTTGGCCCTTTCATGTGACTGTGTTAACCACAACAAAGAGACGTCTAATTGCCCTTCTTGCTCAGCCTCCAAGGAGGCAAGCCTTTGGTCTTTTGGACAGCTCTGTGATTCTCACACACGTGGTGGCAGCTGTAACACTTTACAGAAAGACCATCTTCAGCAAAGGGAATAGATCTGTAGGTGAAGAGGGAGCAGCAGATTGTTGTCCTTATATTACTTGTAGATGATTTGAACAAGGTTTCTGACAGAGTCTGTCACTCCACCCGGGTATCCAAGCTGGGTTATGACAGACTGCATAGGTGACTTGCCAGATGGGAGAAAAACTGGCTGGGTCATGGGGCTTAGAGGCCAATGATTAATGGTTCACACCCTCCCTGGAGACCAGTTATAAGTTCCCTATGGGTCTGTGCTGGTATCTGTCCTGTTTTAATATTTTTGTCAGTGACTTAGAGGAGAAAATGAGTGCATCCTCATCGGGTTTGTGGATGACACCAAATTGGGGTTCTGCACCTGACACATGAGAGGGCAAGGCAGTCATCCACAAGGACCTGGGCAGGCTGGAGTGATGGGCCAGTAGGAACCTCATGAAATTCAGCAAGGACAAAGTCCTACCCCTTGCGTGGACCAACCCCTGGCAGGGCACAGGCTGGGGACTGCTTGGCAGGGGAGCGGCTCTGCAGGAAAGGCCCTGAGGGTCATTGTGGGCAGCAAGCTGGATGTGAGGCCACAGTGTGTCCTGGGAGCAAAGAGGGCCAACTGCACCCTTGGTGGGATGAACAGGGACAGCCAACAGACTGAGGGAAGTGATTATCCCCCCCTACTCAGCACCCATTAGCCAACATCCAATACTGTCTGTCACTTTGGGCCCCCAGTGTGGAAAAGACATCAGCAAGTTGAAGTGAGTTTGGGGCAGGGGAGAGGGCCTCCAAGACAGTCAGGGGCTGGAGGACAGGCCAGGTGAGTAGGGCTTGCTTAGCCTGGGGGAGGGATGGCTGTGGGGGAACCTAACAGCCACCTCCCTGTGCCTACAGGGAGGTCAGCAAGAGGTAAAGTCAGGATCTTTACTGAAGTCATAAATTGAAAGAGGGGAGGTTCCGGCTGGGTGTAAGGAAAACATTTTCCCTACGAGGATAGTCAGGCACTGGGCTGGCTGTGCAGTCTCTCTCCTGGGAGGCCTTCAGGACCTGACTGGACAAGGCCTGAGCAACCTCGGTTGATCTCCAGGCGGACCCTGCTTTGAGCAGGAGGCTGGACTGCAGGCATCCTGAGGTCCCTTCCAGCCTGAGCAATGCTGTGGTTCTGATGTTCCGCTTAAATCCTCGTTGCTGTAACTTTGACCTTTTCCACTGTCTCTCACTCTGAAGGAACATGAGAAATGGTTTATCCCTTTCCTCATTGCCCTTTAGCTAAATGAAGGCAGTTCTGCCTTTTTTCAGTTTTCTCTTCTCTGAACAACTCTACTTCTTTCAGCCTTTACTCCTGGGCCATGTTTCTCTCTACACCTTCTTGTTGTGCTCCTCAGGCCGTGTCCCACATGGGACATATCTTTTTTGAAATGCAGTATTCCAGATGGGACGTGGTACCTAAACAAAGTGCACCAGTGCTGAGAGTGCCATGTGTCCTGCAGGCTGTATTCCTGTTTGCATAACCCTGTATGACGTTTGCTTTTTTCACAACAGCAGGGCCTTGTTGACTCACATTGAGTTTGCATGGCGTTATAGTCATACCTTCCACTCTACACAATTGCTGTCCAGATAGTGGTTACTCGAGCAGTTGATTGCTCCTGCCTGGCTGTAAAATTTTGCATTTGTCCTTATCAGCCAACTTCCTATTTTACTTTCTCATATCATTTCTCTTGTCTGTCACAGATCATTTTGAACTATGATTCTGTCCTCCAAATTGTTTGCGGCCTCTCCCATGCAGTTAAAATATGGGAGTGGCTCTTCTTGGGCTGCTTTTTCCTCCCTTTGTATAAAAACATTTCCATGAGCTTGTGTGATAACCTTGTGATCTCCCTTCCCAAAAGGGCTCTGGGTACCACCAAAGCACCATTGGTTCTTTGGGTGACTGCATTAATCACTCACAAAAAGCCTCCTCCACCTGATCTTCCCCCTTCAGTGATCCTACCACAACAGCATTTACTTTTTTTCCCCCCTCCTTTTGATCACTGATTGCAGATGTCCAAGGGATCTCTCTCCTCGACCTTTCAGTCTTCAGCATGTCCACTCATCACTGATACAAGAAACGACATTCTCTCCTTGCCGTTCCTAAACAAGCTGTTTATTTCTATGTTAATATTCCAGTCGGTGTCACATCACCACTAAGCTCATCAAATCATAATTTTGATTATATACCAACCCTCACTGCAACTCCTCTTGTGCCTTGGGAGAAAAATAATCCTAAGCATTGTCAGATCTCAGGAAATGGCTTAAGTGGCTCCACTTACGAAATTGGTAGTGGCCTGCTGATTTATGGGAGTTATTTGCAAGACTGGGTTGAAGATTAATCTAAGCGTCCCGCTGATTGGGCTCAGTCAAAATGGTCTAATTAGCAGGCAGTGGGGTAGAGAAAAGCTTTGTGTACTCATTCCTAGCCACCATGACTGATTTTAATGTCACTAATGCCAATGGCACAGTGTGGGCAGGTGTTGCTGTGGATATGTTTTAAGGTTTGGGGGTTTTTTAAGTCAAAACTCACATTGTCCTGTAAATGTTGCCAGTTTACCTTCACCTGGCTGCTGCCACGGTGAAGGAGGTCAAATTTTGAGTGCAGAGCTGTGGTGCGATTACAAATACCTCTCATTAGCCTCACACATTATGTTCAGATAGTTTCCAACACGCCTAGCTCTGTCACTTGGTCTTACCAGTCTCCTCTGAGGTATCTGTGTTACATTTTACAAGGTCTGGCAAATCCATCTGTGCTGCCGATTTCCTATCTCGATGCCCATCTGCCTGAAGTTGCAGTGGTTGCTGTGAGGCTGGCACTTTTTCAGACAGAACAGCTGACTCAGTGCCTCTTCCCTCCGTCCCTCCCGAAAGGCATAAAAGGTATGGTTATCCTTCCTTGGGTACCCTCTGTGGGTACAACTGCAGTTTTCAAACGCTTGCACCCATTCTGTTCCAAATATTAATGGATTTTTGCTTCGCTGCACTTTGCGGCTGGGCCTCATGTATGCCCTGGTGTCTCACGGTTTTTCTGATACCCGTTTCAAGGGCCAGGCGTTCTTAACGTCACTGTTTTCACACTCTACATTCCTCTTGTGCTATTCTGTAATTTACCTGCACCAAATGCAAGCTAGAATCTGATTCCACATGCTTTTCTAATTGATGTTTTTCCAGTGGGGCTAATGGTTACTTGTGCAAACCTCACTTTACCTGTATATTTCAGCCATAACAAGCTAGGCAAATTGCGATTTAAAGTAAATAATTGTCCTGTTTAACAGCAGTATTTTCTAGTAAATCTTTCTTTAGGAAAATGAGAATAACAACATGGAATTAAAAGTAGATTTACATCTACTTTGATCCAGAAAGGGGCAGGGAAAAAGCAATGTAATTTGTCATCAATGTAGATTTTTCTGTGTAATTTGAATGTGGATTTTTAGCATATGTAATGAAACAGCTGCCTCAGTGTTGCTGTTTATTTAAGGCTGATATAAAGTACCTGGCTCTTCTCTTGATTTGTTTTTAATTGCTCAGTGTTTTTCCTGTTTTTTCATAAATTTCACCCCACATTCTAGTCATGGTCCATTTTCTTACCAGAGAGATCCTCGACTCTCTGTGACCCTAAGACTGCCTATTCAGCTTCAGACCAGTCACATCCAGTTGTAAAGTCTCCTCTGTCATTTTTACCACTTGATTAAAACATCCTGTTCCTTACTTTTTATTTTTATACAGCATGCAATACTCCCCAAATAGCTATACTATGTGGTATCTATATGTTCAGGTGGAGACATACAGTTGTCTCCACTCCTTTGACTACCTGAAGCACGTGGAACTCTTCAGGGTGAATCATGTTCTGAAATACAGCTACCCTGAATTGCTTTTCTCTTTGTTGGTATTTTTTATAGAGAAGAAATTGCTGCTTGGACTTTCTACAGCAACAAGCCATGTTCTCGAGACGTTTCACTCTGGTAAGCCTTTTCGGTATCCCATGCTTTCATGCAAGGATTTCTGTTTTGTTTTTTAACTTTCTGCATAATCTGGAGCACCTTGTGGTAGTCAAGAATTACTCTGAGACAATTTGCACCGAGTGTCTTAAATTCACCTGCACCCTGTGTTATACATCGTAAAGCTCCATTCACAACAATGCAGATGCAGCCATTGTGACAGTGAACGACTCCCCAGGCGAATACCTCATTATCACATTCTCAGACACCATCAGAAGTGTAATAATTACATCAGAGCGTAATAACTATCCATTGCATTGGTGCCGCAAGGACTCACAGAGATGAAGCCAATTCGGCCAGGACACAGCCCCCCGTGAGGCTCGAGAGGGCTGCTCCTTCTTCACGAGCAGCGTGCAGCCTGCCTCTGTGCCGGCAAGCGCACCAGCAGAGGGGTGCCAAATTGTAGGCAACACGGGAGCTTAAAACAGAGAAAGCGTTTAGGTGTTTTCCAGAGACGTGTTTAGGGCGGGGCACCTTTTGGGATAAACCCATTTCCTGGTTTGTAGCATAACTACCGCTAGCAAAATGACCGGTGTGGGTTTGTTTCAGCAGGACACTTGCACTTACTTTCTGCAGCACCATTTCCAGCCTGCATCTCCCAGCCGGGGGGGATTCACCAGCTCTTCCCTGCCCACGGGCTGGGTATTTCCAGGCTTTGACATGAGCCCCAGGGATGCCTCGGCCCTCCCTCTCCCTTGATGCCGATCCGGGCAAGCCGAGACGGGGCCCGCAACGCTGGCGGTGGGCGGCCGGGTGCCCTGACGCAGCGCAGCCCTGAGGCCTTTTCAGGGGGGTTCCAGGGGGGGAACGCTGTCTGGCTGCAGACCCAGCCGTGAAACCCCCCTCACGGCCGCCCCCCCTC